GGTCTGAAATAGAAGAGGTGAGAAGCAGACTGCAGTGCGCTCAGCTCGCTTCGCAAGGAGCTGTGAAACTGCAGTTGGGGAGAAACTGGTGCAGTTCACAGAGAAAAGCCAACGTTTCCAAAAGTGAACACAGATCTGTGGATGTCAAACCACATAACTGATTTCCCCCCCTCCCTCCCTCCCACCACATACTTTCTGAGCTAAAAAAAGGCTTTATCTGGGTGGATTTTCCAGGGAAGCAGGAAAGGATAAGCCCTTTCTGTACCACTGCCCAGTTCCTGGATCAAACAACAAGAAATAGCACAACTGACCAGATACTCTCACCCCCATCCTCTCCCACAGGGCTCCAGCCAGGGAACTTATCACATCAGCTTGGAGAAAACATCAGAAAGCAAAGCATTTTACCTGCACAGGCAGTGAAGAGCAGCTCCTAGGAAAGGTGCATCCCTGCACACAACCTGTCCAAAGTCCATGCTAAAAAACAAGCCTCCAGCCTGGGGTTAGGATCGCTGAGCCCCGCCGGGCAAAGCCACGAACAAAAGCCAATTGCTCACTAGCCTTATTCCTACCCAGAGATATTCTTCCCTGCTCCAGCCACCCTGGGAGTGGACTTGTGCCTATTTAGAAAGCTGAGTATGAAGTCATCTAGCATGGCCAGGCCAAGTCAAGCCAGCCAGCTGTTTTAACTTAGCTCTTTTGTTCATTAAGCTTCGCTGTACCCTTAACCCCTCTGTTCCCAGGAGCTCCCCCAGAGCCTGCTCACCGGCTGACAGAGGGGAAGAGGCGAGCAGGGCACCAGGTGTGAGCTATTGCCTCAGCTGCAGCACAAGGCCATGATATACTCCACTTCTTTGCAAGGAAAACGTTGCTTTTTGTGCTTAGTCCTGGCTCCAGAAGAGCTTGAACCATGTCCCGGGACACATGCAAACCAACAAGAGGCTCCTGCCCCTTTTGCTTCGAGCTTCAGGCCCCAGAAGTGCTGCTGAGCCACCCGAGGGTTAACGCCTTGCTGATGGGGCTGCAAACCTTCTCCACCTGTTTCCCATTCCCACCTCCGACCTCTCCTTACTCAGGGCCAGGATCAGGCCCAGCTGGCGGTTTGCTGGTAAGGCAGCAGAGGAACGCTCAACTGACCCTCTTTTCTCTCGCAAATGTTTCCCTGTTTCCCTGCCTGTGCAGTCCCATGCCCACAAAGGCCCTTTCCTATCCTGAGAAAACTCCAGGCTCTGGTCTGCTCCCTACCCCAAGCCAGCTTCTGCTGTTTAACCCCCCAAGAGAAAGAGAAGTTACGCCAAGAATTGCATTTAGTCCCAATAAAACTGGACTCTGGAAGGGAGAATCATTAATAAAAATCCAGTTCTGACTTCACTGGGGCAAAAAAAGAAAAACCGAATGATCCGTCTCAGAGATATATCTCCAAAGGGTCCCCAAACCAAACTGTGGATTTGCACTGGCCCTTATCTCATCTCAAAGGATGAGCAGCCAGCACGAGCTCCACGTGGGCTGCAGCTTGGGGATGTCAGTGCTGTCACGCTGCTGAAGATGGAGGGCTCTGCACTGCGTACTGCTATATCTAGAGCCCCAGCTGCAAATTTAGAAACATTGCCTGAATTTCTCTTTGTGCTCTCCCACGTCCTGCCCTGCTACAACTCCTGTCTGCTTGCATTTCATTTCTTAAAAAGCACTGCTTAGCAACCTGACAGCCCTTTCACTTCGAGCACACAGCAACCAGTTCCTCCCATTCCCACTCCTCCAACTGGGAAATCATGGCAGGCACGTGGCCCCGTTGGCTTAACAGCACCATCTGACACGGAGCCGGGGTTGTAACAAGGGCAGTTTGTGTCACCTCTTGGCAACTCCAGTGTATTTTTGCCCATGGGAAGACAGAAGGGCCCATGTCCCTCCCGATGCCACAGATCTCATCTGCCCTTCCACAACGAACGTTTCTGCTGTGGAGTAATATCCTCACTGGAGTAAAGGATAGGTAATTATAGAGCCTTCAGTAAACCTTTTAAGCCATTCATCCAAAGTCCCCAGAGGGAAGCAGGTGAGACTTATAATACGCATTGCACAAGAGATACATATCTAGGGTATTTTATTTTATAAAAATCTCTCCCCTCCCTTTGTGGTTTGTTTAAAAGGAATGGCAAAACAAACCAGGTAAGCTGCAAGTCACCGCTGCCAGCACTTCCAGCCCTGTCTTCCACGGCAGATCCACCCCAGGGCCGGCGTGGACTCTGCGGGAGCTGCTCGGCAGGTAAACTGCTGGAGGACAGAGAAGGGCCTCGGACTGACGATGAGGCACAGCTCTTCTTGCTCCACAGTTTGGAAGCGTGCAATCTCCCCAGTCGCCTTCGGCTGAGAGCTGAGGGAGGCAGGATGGGGCAGGTCCGAAATGAACAGGGAGTGCTGTGAAAGAGTCTGGAGCGAGGGAGAAGAGCAAAGGGGGACAGATAAAAGCACAAGGCGGGCATGAGTCATGTTGGCATGTGGCCTCTGAAGAGAGCCCTCGAGCAAAGAGGGTATGAAGTAAATCCCCAGTCAGGCAAAAATCCACTGAAACAAAAGGCAACCCAAAATAGGCTCTTGCATACCTGTCTCCTCTGGCTCATTGTTAAAGGTTCAGCATCCCTCAAACTCGGGTTGCGTTTCTTGCTGGCATCTGGTCACGCTTGGCCAGGCCAGGGCAGAGGTGGGAGCACTCGGGGTGCGTTGGGAGAGCGCTCGCTCCCCGAGGCAGGCCCCGATCTCCAGCTCACTGTTGCAAAAGCTGCCTTCCTCACCCAGAGGGGAGAGCTCTCTCCAAAGAGTCAACATGAGGGTTGCGGGGCTTACACACTTCCACTTGCACACACAGGAAAGAAACCCCGCTGCAGGCAGCAACTTTCCACTCAGCCTGCCCACATCTACCCGCTTACGAGCTAAAGGTGAAGGAGTTTAAGCTGGGAGCCAGAAACCAGCCCTCCCAGACCCTTTGGGGAAAACTTGGACCTGAAGTCAAGCAGCGTGGCTCCAGCTATTTCTGTCGTAAACCCTGCTCTCCCGCCCGGGGATTGGGAAAGCAAGTAATGCAGGTGTTCTCCCAGAAACATGCAACCTGGGCACGCCAGCTCTTTGGAAACCTAGCAGCAGATCCATTAGCTGCGGCTCCCGGCTGCAGCCTCGCAGCTGGGTGAGCCACAAGCCGGTTTCCCGCTACGCCGGGGCTGGAAGCTGGCCAGCGAGCCTTCCTTCAGCTGCTGGCCTGCTTGTTTTCACCATGAAGAATCCAAACCCCAAGCCAGCTTTAGTAACGTTTCTCCTCTGCGGAAACAGCATTTCTGCACGCTGAATTTTTCCACTTTAGAGAAACTTTTGCTGTTTATAGGGGCCAAAGGCCTGGGGGGAGCAGACCCTTCTCTTTGGTGCTTGTATAGCGGCCCGCAGCACCAGGTCCTGGGCTGGGCTGTGGCTCTGCAGCACTGGAACAACAGCAGGAGAAACAAGTTCATCGTGGGGACCCGCAGCGCACCAGAGAACCTCCCTGGTGCAAAGTGCCCTACCCGCCCCGTCTCCAATCTCCGCAGCAGCAGCATCTCTTTCAGGGGCAGCGTAAGCACCCCCAAATATTCTAAACTAAGAATAGCTCGAGGATTTTCCGCTCCCTTGCTCCTTCTTTCCCTGAAGTCACACTGTGGTAGCTTCTCAACAAAGCTGGAAGAGCTCTGGTCACTGCGCTGAGGAAGGAGCAGCCACCAGCAGCAAACACCTCCAGCTACACGACGCTGTCACCAGGATGGATTGCTTCACAAGCTTGTGCTCTCTGCACAGAAGTTTACTGTCTTGTCCAGAGACGTTTGTACCAACCCTTAGAGCAGGTCACCGTATCCATCCCCGCCAGTCTGGCTTTTTCCTTCCCCAGAGTCAAAAAGGGCTGCAGGGACCAGGGAACAACCTCTTTGCTGTACAAACATGCCCTCCACAGGGCAGGGAAAAGAGTTTACCTTATTTCCCCATCCTTATTTTGGGTACAACCCAACACTCCTCCCTAAAGCCAGCTCAAGGGCAGCTTGAGACAAGTGTGTGAAGTCCTACTCTGGAAAAGCACTGGGGTAACAGCAGAACAGCACGAGCACACCTGAGTTGAAAAGAGCCTGCAGGCACTAAATATCAGCTTGAGGCATGCTGGCAAAGCCACGGAGAAAGGGCAGACTGCCTAGCTCAAACTCCTGACGCTTATTCTTTGTTTGTACAAGCACCTAATTCCCTCCCAGATGTTTGCAAAAGCTCAGGAAGTTGGCACAGTAGCAAAGAGTTGGCCTTTAATTAACCAGAAGTCAAATACAAAAAGGACGTAAGCACTGCTCGCCCTGACCGGGGTGTTCAGCTCTTCTGTGGGTCCGTACACATTGGTGTCCCTCCACACCGCTGTTCGTTCATGCCAGCATGTAAGAAAGGACTTTGCTGGGGCTGCTCACACTTCTCCCGATCCCCTTTCAACACGCACCATCGAGTGAGCTGAACAGAACTCATTTCCTCAAACCCTCCCCCCCAACTGTAGCTGCAGCATCACGCTGCCCGAGGCCGCCAGCACGCCCGATGCCAGTCAGGTGAAAAACCACCGCCGCAGAAAAGCAGAGTTAGGGACAACACGAGCACCAGCTCAACCAGCCCCAGCGTCTGCCTTCAGCCCCCCACGGCTGCTGCACAACACACAAACACCCCCCTCCATCCCCGGCTCTGCCAGACGGGCTCACGCACGCGCGGTTCTGAGCGGGTTCAAGCCAGAACAAATCCTCTCTGGCCGTCTCCAAAACGCTGCTGACCCAGCGCCCCGGGATGCTGGCTGGGACTCGCAGCTGCAGCAGCCCAGGGGATGCCCCACGCTGGGGACGGGGAGCTGTAAGCCAGCTCTTGCCTGTCACGGGTGTAGGTGACACCTGCAAGCTGTGCAAAGGGATTTGCAAAGCTGTCCTCCACCCCAGCCCCGCTTCCCTACACACATACACGCTCACCCGGAATTAACTTAGGTTTCCATCACCTGTATTTAAGAGAGGGACAGTAGTACCAGAAACAGGACGTGAATAAAGATCATCTTTGAACAGAGGTGTAACACTGGATCTGCTATAATTGGTTAGAGTCATTTCCTCCTCTTCATTAGTGTAGTGGGGTTTGCATTATTTGCCTGGCTTCAGGGCCCCCTGGTCTCAGCCTCGCGAGGATGAGCAGCAAGACTTAACTTCTGCCGCTGCCCTGAAGCGTCCGCTGGCTGCACGGCTGGCCCCGGTGGATCTTCATGTGTTTGGCTAAATGGTCACTGCGGGCAAACTTCTTCTCGCAGGCGGCACACTGGTACGGCTTGACGCCGGAGTGGGAGCGCTTGTGGCGGGAGAGCTCATCCGAGCGGGAGAACCTGCAGGAGGAGGGAAGCATGGGGGACCCAGCCTTCGCTGCTAGACAGGGCAGGGAACACGAGGACCCCGGCACGTCTCTGCCGCAGCCCCTTGAGGTGACCCCAGACAGGTCCCTTCTGCTCCGCTCCAGCCTGCCTGCCAGCAAGGCACAGGTACCCCAGGCTGGAGGAATGGAATGAAATAAACCCCTCCAAGGGGCGAGTTAGGGATAGGAAAGAGGGAAAGAATTCACCCACTGAGATCTTCATTTCTTTCCACTGCTCTTAAAGGACGGTGCCGGTCCACCTGCTTCCTTCGTTTGTTTTAGACTTGCTGCAGCCTTTGGGGAGCTGACAGCCCCAAGCCCAGATGCTGAAATGGCTTTTTTGGGGGAGCATCAGCCCAGGCTGGCAGTGACTAAAGGACACCATTCAGGAGCCTGGGTGGAAAGGCTTTACTGTAACTCCCACATCCAGCCAAGAGCTTCGCTGTTGAGAGAGAGCTTGCTTTTCCTGAGAGAGCATGGGTTCTCCCTGCAAACTTTGAGCATCGCCTTGTTCCTCAGAATGGCAGTGAGTTTTCACTGTCAGCCTGGGCTGGACCGGGAGCTGGGGAGAGAGAAGGAGAAGCTGCCTGTGAGCTGGTTTAAATATGAGCACAAGGGAGGAAAAGCAAATGCACCCAGCCTGGAGCACAGAAGCAGAGCTTTCCATGCCAAAGCAAGCTGACTGTTGTTCTGAGGATGCAGGAACAAGGACCACAGGAATACCCCGTGTTCAGGCTGCTTGTCTGTGTAATTCCCACACCTGGAGCAGATCAGCTGAACAGCCTGGAAAGTCCCTTTAACCACATGCATGTCCCCACTTAATTCTCCCTCCTTTCTTCCACCTGGCACACACAGATCCAGACCTGGGGGCACCTGCAGCAAGACGGTCCACAGCTGTTTTACAAGTGCCACCTCAAAGGTCTCAACAAGGCCTGGGAGCTGGCGTGACTTCAGCATGCTTTGCATTTCCAAGTGTCAGGGGAGTGCTGGAGAGGAGGACTGGACAGGATTTACTCCTGTTCTGCCTCTAAGGAGCCAACACAGATGGCAGGAGTATTAGGACGGAAGGGTTTTTCCATCTGGCTGAAACATGCCCACGCAAAGAAGCACAAAGCAAGGAGCTTGAGATGTAACCCCAGACTCCCAGCGATAGGATTTCAAGCTCACACCTGGTATGGTAAATACTGAGGCTGCTGACAGAAGGCTCTGTGAAAACAAAATGTGTCCCAAGGCCATCCGCAGGTCTTCCACGCAAACCACTGACTTCTTTTCCAGCTTTATTGCAAGAAATGAGTTCCAAGGTCTCAGCTCCTCACATAAAAGCAGGGCCAGGAGAAATGACATCTATATTTACAGTTAGGGCCACATCTAGAAAAGGGAGCACGGCCCAGAGAGTCGCAGCCACAGCTGAGGACATCGCTCGGCAGCGTGACTGCTCCCACGGAGGGCGAGGGCAGGGCAGCAAGCGAAGCGGAGCGCAGCAGCTCAGATGCCAGGATGCTATCGTGCAGGCTAGCACCATCCCCTTCCTCCTTCCCAGAGGGAAAAGTGACACTTGGCATCATCCCCTTCCTCAGTCCCCAGGCTCTGAGCGTCAGGTGCAGGAGGGTTTAGCAGTACTCGTTGGTACTGGAAAAGGAGCCGATGCCTATAAACATGTACTGCGGTTGTAGGTGAAAGGGAGGGATAATTGCTGATGGCAAAGGGACAGCAGCTTGGCAAGAGGGAGTCCAAAAATTGGGATTTAGTCTCATACCTCCCAGAGTTTCACCACCCCAAGATAGAAGCCGTAACGCACCATCCAGGAAACAAGGCAGCGAGCGTATGCCAAAGCATTGCATAAGAAACCAGGAAAGCTCAGTGCTGCCAGCACCAGTTTTCTTTGTGATATGCTTTGAGATCTGCTGATGAAACGTGCTACGCAACACCTGAGGATTATCAGCCCTTCTTGCCAAAGGCTGCACTGAGCATCCTGTCCCCCAGGACAAGTACGCGGTACCAGGAAGAGAACACCACAGCAGAAAAATAATCACAGAAGTGCAGCAAGATTAAAAAACAAGGTTAATTTAGGGAACACAGATGAAAGAGAATGACAACCACCATCATGTGCAGAGCAAACAAAAGTAAATGCAACATGGAGATATGCTACAGGCCCACAGGTGTCTGAGGGATACGAGCGGCCAGGGCAGGCAAGCAGCCATAGAAAGCAAAGGGTTGCTGGAACAAAGACAGAACTATGCACTGGCTCCTGAGGAAGCAGTGAGGCTCCTGTTTCCTGGGACAAATATTAACGGAAAAAGCCTTTTTTGTAGCCCAACTGCAGGAATTGTCCTGAACTAGACAGAGAAAACTTGCAAAATTCCAACATCACTTGGAAAAGCTGTATTGCCAGAGGGTGGTTAAGCATCCAGTTCGGGGGGGATTTGGGGTGTTTGGGAGAGCGTCAGCTACACTTCCCCAGCTGGGGGGTTCCAGCGCTTTTGGACCGAGTGAAAACTACGCAAAGCGCTCAACCAACTTTACTCCTCCAGGCCCTCTTCCAACTCTCACCTATAATTCACTCGGGAGAGAAAACTTGTGATTTTATCCTGGATTTTCACTAGCCAAGAGCTCTCCTGCATCTTGGACAGCAATGGCAGGCCTTCGGTGGGGACACCCACTCGCACAGAGTCCCGCGGCTCCCACTTACCGCCAGCCACAGTTGGGCCAAGCACAAGTGTAGGGTTTCTCGCCGGTGTGCCGACGAAAGTGAGCCTTGAGGTGGGAACTCTTGGTGTACATCTTGCCGCAGCCCGGGTGCGAGCACTTGTGGACACGGACGAGGGAAGGGGGGGCTTTCAGATACTCAGGGGTTGCCTCCACCTCTCGCACATCCCCCGGCGCCCCTGGCCTCATGGCGACGGGCAGGGGGGCAATTTTGACATATTTCTGGTCCATGACGGTCACGGGGGGCCGGACCTGAGGGAGGAGGGACAGGTTTTGGCCCTGCAAGCTGATAACCAGCTGGGCCATCCTGACACCACCTGCAGCACCCTGTGCTAGCTGGCTGCCACCGTCCATCTGCAGAGGCTGGATGTGGAGGACGACAGGAATGCTCCCGGCAGCTACTGCCCGGTCACTACCAGCAGCTGTCCCTCCAAGCTGAGAAGCATGTGAGACATCTTCTTCTTGAACCGCCCTGGAGACAGGCTGCTCGCCAGAGCTACCTAAGCCAAGCTCCGATTCGATGTCGACCTTCCCGCCAGCTGGGTGAAGCTCGCTTGCTTCGTCCTTGAGGAACTCAGCCTTCTCCCTCAGGAACTCCTCAATCTCCTCCAGGGTGGGAATGAAGTCCTGGGAGAGGCTGCTGCAGAAGTCAGGCAGCCTGAGGTGAGCCTCGCAGAGGGTCACTTGGGGTTTTGGGTCTTCCCCCTTCGCGCCGGCCAGGGGGAGCGGGGCGCCGTCCGAGTGGCTGGTGCTGCCGGCGAGGAGGCGGCCGGCCGCGCTGCCGTGCCCCGGCAGGAGGGACGGAGGCATGCTGTGTTGCAGAGCGCTGGCAAAGCTCTCTAGAGGGGACGAGCTGGTCAAGGAGTGTAGCAGCTCCTGGTGACTCACAGAGACCATTTGTTGACTCACGTCCTCTACCCACACAAAGCTCTTGGCTCGGCTGGATCAGAAGCCTCTGCAAGAGCTCAGCTGGGGCTCCTGGGGCTGGGGAAGTCTTCGTTCATCTGCAAGGGAACACCACCAAGGTTAATTTCTAAATTAAAAAACAAACAAGAAAACCTCAACCTTTGAATTAAATGGACTGTGCATTAGAAAGAAAACATCAAACCTAGTCAGTGGCCTTTGTTTTTGAAGAGTCTGTTGCTCAAAAAACACGTGCTAACCATTTTCCTATGCAGGACGCCAACTGGCTGCAAAGAGCTAGATTCCCCCCAGAAGCAAACTTCTCTGGAGAGTTTATTAAGGTAAAAATACACAATGAAACACTTCATCCCTCTTCTACCTATGCCAGAGGGCACGTACGTGCTGCTAGATGGCAGAGAGGATGACTTGTGGCTTACAACTAGGAGTTAATTGAGATCCAAGAGAGGGTGCTGGTTTCTCCACACTGCAAATGTCGGTGCAACCACAACCTGACGCAGACCCATCACGGCTGGATTAAAGCTAAATTGTCTGGGAACAGATAACAAGACAGCTATGAGAGTGCCTGCTGCCAGACTGCTTGGGGCTCTGGTGAGCGTTCACCAGTAACCACTCTGCTGTGGTTATACTGGCTATCGGTGCCTGAACGAGCGAGCCTAAAGCCAGTTCAGGCAGGTCTGCCCAAGCTCAGTCACACCTCCAGAAAGCATCGCAGACAGACTGTCTGGGGTCAGCTCCTGGGGCCCTCGAGGACACAAACACCACGTTTGGAAACAGGTGAGAATTATCCCAATACCTCCAGGTTAGACCCGTGCGAGTGCTCTCCCGCGACGCGACACAGCAGCGGCCGTGCCGCGGCTCGCAGGGTTGTGAGCACAGCGCCCACAGCAGCCACGCACCAGCCCTGCCCCTGCGAGAGGCTGCAGCCCGCTCCCGCAACACCTAAACCACCCGAGAAGGCAGGATCTTTTACACTCAGTGCAGAAAGTGAGTTTCCAAGGGAAAGAAACTATGCCAAAGTCCCTCATGAACCTTTTCCAGAGTAAATCCTTGAGATTTCTCCAGAGCTGCAAACCTGCTAAGCCAGTCCCTGTTATCTGTGCTTCCTCAGGGTCCTGAGAGCCAGGAAAGAGAGTTTTTGAGAAGCAGTCTGGATGGGATATAAAGCCTCTTCCCCTTAAGAAGAAATAATCCCCACGCTGTTCAAAATCTGCTCAGAGCAAGACGCCACATTGCTCGGGGCCATTTGCAGTGCTGCCCACAGTCTGTCTCCAGCACAACTCTGCACCAACAAGCCACGATGAGCAGAGCCCATCGCTGCTCACCTGAGAGGCGGGAGAGGCGTCTGGGCCAATCTCAACCTTCAGGCTTCAAGTTTTCATCACAACACAGATCCGTGCTCTGAACTATCACCTTCAAGGCAGCACACAATTCCGCTCCTTCCTTCACACCAATGTTATGATCTCTTTCTGCTCTCTGCCTCTCATCTTCTCTTTCTACAGGCTTCACAGGCTAGAAAAGCCTTCCCCCTCTGGCTACCAAACACTCCTGTTTACCTCTTTCAGAAAGTCTTAAAACCTGATTTTCCAACAAGGTCTCCTTGCAGAGCAGCTCAGGAACTCTCCATCCCTTCAGTATGCCCCCAGGACGACCGGAGTAAACTATAAACTCTTTAGCTTATAAGTCTCATTTAGTACATATCTTGCAAATTCAGAGCGAGCAGTTCTGTTGAACTAACAACATGAAGAAAAGCACAACCAGAGGGCAGGAAGGTCTGGCGGTTAAGCTGTTGGCTTGGGACTAAGGAGATCTGAGCAGAATCTCCTGCTCTGCTGCAGACTTCTCGTGCAGCCCTGGGGTAGCTGCTGGAGTGCTCTGGTCCTCAGTTTCCCAGCTAAGTGGGGGCAATAGTAATGTCTTACCTTGCAGAGCGGTGCTAAGGGGAAATGTGTGACCCGGAGGCGTGCTCCATAACTAACAGACTTTGTAGGTACCCATTACAGATGTCAGGGCCTTGTCAACCCAAGGCATTTTTGCAAAAACCACGTCAACAGTCCCGTCATCCCACATGAGCTACTGCAAGAAAATGGAGACCTAACTCAGGCCTTCAGTGAAGCATACTGCAAGGCAAGGTCAACATCATTTTCAAGCTTCACTTTGTATTGCAATTCCTATAGTTTTTCAAATCCCTAAGAGCACTCCATTACTGTATAAAATCAGCAGATGTGCAGTTTGAGCACAGAGAAAAAAGTAATTTGCTCAAGGTCAGCCAACAAGCAGGAGCTGGGAACTCAGCCGAGGGTTACGACTCTCCTCTCGTGACTGAACAACACGAACAAACACCTGTAACCTCTTCAGAGCCCTGAATTACATTCACAGTGTCCGCGCAAAACCCGGACTTATGAAGCCTTTCAGGACAACTACAAAATGCTAAATAAGTCAGACACAGCCAGTGCCATGTGTAGGGAGATAAAGGGGGATGCCCCACGCTTCGACCCGGCCAAGGACAAGCCAGCGTGAGCAAAGTCTGCCCCGACCACTGCCCCCAAACCCCACCGCGGGGAACGGAGCCAGGAGCCGGCTGGAAGCCCCCGGGGCCGGCGAGACCGAGCCCGGCCCCGGCTGCTCCCTTCACCCCCGGGGAGGCGGGGAGGGGACGGACGGACAGACACAAAAAAACACGAAACAAGAATCCCCGACCCAGGCCGACCTTGCCCCCAGGCAGCCGCCCCTCCGCCGCTGCGGGCGGCCCCCGGGGGAGCGCGGCGGGGCGGGTTGTGTCCCCCCCCCGCGCCCCCGCTCCCCCTTACCCGGCTCCCGTCCATGCTGGCACCGCGGCTCCCGCAGCGCGGGGGCGGCTCCCGGCCCGCCCCGCCCCGCCGGGGGCTCGGCTCCGGCCGACGGGCCCATTGGCGGCCAGCGCCGGGCTCCGCGCCGGGCATCGCACCGGACCCCCCCACCGGGCATCGCACCGGACCCCCCCACCGGGCATCGCACCGGGCATCGCACCGGACCCCCCCACCGGGCATCGCACCGGGCATCGCACCGGACCCCCCCACCGGGCATCGCACCGGGCATCGCACCAGACCCCCCCACCGGGCATCGCACCGGACCCCCCCACCGGGCATCGCACCGGGCATCGCACCGGACCCCCCCACCGGGCATCGCACCGGGCATCGCACCGGACCCCCCCACCGGGCATCGCACCGGACCCCCCCCACCGGGCATCGCACCGGGCATCGCACCGAGCCCCCCACCGGGCATCGCACCGGGCATCGTACCGACCCCCCCACCGGGCATCGCACCGGACCCCCCCCCACCGGGCATCGCACCGGGCATCGCACCGGACCCCCCCCACCGGGCATCGCACCGGGCATCGCACCGAGCCCCCCACCGGGCATCGCACCGGGCATCGTACCGACCCCCCCACCGGGCATTGCACCGAACCCCCGTACCGGGCGTCGCACCAAGCCCCACACCGGGCATCGCACCGGACCCCCACGCCAGGCATCGCACCGACCCCCCCACTGGGCATCGCACCGAGCCCCGCACCGGACATCGCACCAAGCCCCACGCCGGGCATTGCACCGGGCATCGCACTGAGCCCAGCATCAGGCTCCGCATCTGCCCCTTGCACCGGGCATCACACCGGGCATTGCACCGAGCCCCACACCAGATCCTGCACCGGGCATCGCACTGGGCTCCTACCGAGCCCCACACCGAGCCCCCGCACTGAGCCCCACACCAGACCCTGCACCAGGTCCCACACTGGGCTCCACACCAGACACTGCACCGAGCTCCACAACTGGCCATTGCGCTGGGCATCGCACCGAGCCCCGCAGAGTCCCACGCTGAGCCCCACACCGGGCACTGCACCGAGCCTCGCACCAGCCCCTGCACCAGGCGCCACACAGAGTCCCACACCAAGCCCCACACCGGGCACTGCACCGGACCCCACACCAGCCCCCTGCACCAAGCCCCGCACCGGGCATTGCACCGAGTCCCACACTGGACCCCACACTGGGCATCACACTGAGCCCCACACCGGACCCCTGCACCAGACCCCCACACCGAGTCCCACACCAGACCCCACACAGGGCCGAGCTGGCTGCCCCCCGGGGCGGCCCTGAAAGCCCCCCCAGCCCGGGAAGGGCAGACGGGCTGCCCGGATCGGGGTTGTCCCGGCTCTGCTGTCCCGTCCCAGTCCTGGAGGAGATGCCTCGGACCCTGCCGCAGTTTGCCATTGTTTCTTCTCCCTGTTAATTCACACTGGGAACAGTCCAGATCTCCCCACGGTTTCAGGAAAGAAAGCGCTGGCAGGTAGCAGCAGCGATGGTTGCTGCTGGCATCCATCTGGATACAGGTTTTCATTTCAGGAGGGACAGTTTTGGCAGGGCCACGGCGTGCGGTGACACGGAGGTGCGTGAGGTCTCCTGTCCTCAGCGCGGCTTTACAGCCAGGTCACGGCTTCCTGGGGGAGTCTTTGCCAGGCTGAGCTTGAGGACGGGCTGGGGGCTGCCGTGGGCTGAGCCCCGTGCAGAGGAGCGGACTCGCAGGCCGCCCAGGAGCAATCCTCTGCCAGCAGCTTCAGCTTTCCGGGCTGGCGGGGTCACTCTAAAATGCCTGACGGCCCTTACGGCATCACGGGAGCCACATGCCCTGGGATGGAAAGAAGCACGAGAGTAACAAAAATGACGGCGTGCTGCCCCACGCACGGGGCAAACACAGCGACTGGAGGGAAGGATCACGTTTACCTTTTGCTCTCTCAAGCCACTTGTAGGGTTCGGTGGTGACACTGGTTTCATGTTAAAGATTTCCAAGCAGAGGGACAATTTTGAGGCAGTCAGGGCCCCTATTCCCTACAGGGGAATTTCTCTTACCTCCCACTGCCAGCCCCGTAAACCCCAGGAAGCAAGCGCAATTTCTCTGCTTTGTAAGCAGCGTGAGATTTTTGAGCCTGAACAAAAGCCGCTGGATGAGAGTAAGGCTTCACATTTGGAAAACAAAACCAAACCAACCGAAACACCGAGGGTGCACGGTCATTTGGGAAGAGCAAACCCAGCTACTCCCCTGCCTCGCTGCTGCCTCTGGCTGTCACTTACTCCGCTCCACCACCTGTAACGTAAGTGCTGATAACACCTAAATCCCTCGCAGGGACTGGGAATGTTTTAGCTCTTCCAAACCCCCCGGTCCTGCCCGCTGCAGGGGCCAAACGCGAACGGCTGTGGCTGACACCGCTCCGCAAATCCGCTGGGGACAAGAAGAGGCAGCAAATGCTTCCCCAAGGTTTGTACCGCACGGACGGGCGCGGGCGGCTCGGCCCCGCCGGTGGCGACAGGGGCAGGGACCGGGGGCAGCCCCCCCGTGCCCCCCATGTCCCCCCGTGCCCCCCATGTCCCCCCATGTCCCCCCGTGCCCCCCCGTGTCCCGGCCGCCCCCGCAGCTTGTGTCCCTCCGCGCACGGCCGCGAGGAGGCGCCTCACAGCCAGGAGTCCTCCGCGCCGCGCCCCGGACACGCCCCCCGCCCCGCGCCCCGCCCATGGCCACGCCCCCCGCCCATGGCCACGCCCCCCCGGTGCCGTTCGCGCAGCCACACACACCCGTTGTCCCATTTAAACACCTTTTATTTCCTCCTTTTCATAAAAATTTGTAATAGCCTTCCTCTTACATCGTATACAAAATATTTACTCTACTGAATAAATAAAACATCTTGCAGACAGCACATGGTCTCAGAAGAAAAAAAAAAAAAAAAACAGCATCCAGGCATCCTTCCCTAACCTAGAGATTCACAATAGTCCCACATTAAAAAGACATCCTCCCTTCTCCCCTCTGCTCCCCATCTCAGCTCTCAAAACCCCCATCTCACACAAAAGGAAAGGAGAGGCACAGCACGATTCACCCGTGAGAAAAAAGCAGAAGTGCACCTTCTACCTGAAAGAGAAAAGCTGACGGTAACCACCTCTGCCCAGCCTGTACCAGTACCTGCAAGTTGTACAACAGAATCAAATCCTAGAGGGATTTCTGTGCTCACACAGGTTATTTCAGTAACAGCATGTAAGGGATGTGCTTACCTTTACCCGTGTCCCTTGCTGGTCTATAGGTGATGCTGACACAGAGCAGCTCTCCTTAGCAGAAGCAGAACTCCTTAGCAGAACCTAACTGGGTTAGGCAGAAAGAACAATCTTACCAAGACAGGAGTTTGTCAACACTCTGGAAAAGGCCTCTCCTGTCAGCCCCAGTGACAGCCTGAACTGGGAAGAAATGCTTTCGGCAGGAACAGAGCGGGCAGACGGGGCCATCGCGGTGACAGCAAATTTAATCCCTTAGCGGGGTCGGGGAAGGCGGCTGCCGACAGCCCAGCTCGAGCCCTGAGCTCAGACTACACACCCAGCTCCTGCGCCGTGGTCGGGATCACGCTGGGGTGCGGGTGCGAGCAGGGGGGGCTATGAAGTGCTCTATGGACAGGCCAAGGCCACAACAAGGGGCACGTTCCCACCCGCTGCCCGGGCAGCCTAGTGCCAAAGGGCCACGTCCAGGGCAGAGCCAGCCCAGTTCCAACCAGTGCCCCGTACCAGTCCCTCACGTTGCTACAGACCTCAGCTCTCCCCTGAACCCCCTTCTTCCTCCTGCTCCCTCGCCCTGATCTCTCCCCATTCTCCTCTGAGTCTGCTCCCTTGCCTTCCTTCCCCGCTGAGCTCTTATGGAGAAAACTGCTCCCCCAACTTCCCCCACCTACCCAGGACCTGACTCAATGCAGCAGTTTCCTGCACCCCTCCTCTCCTCCTGCAAACAGCCCAAATCTTCTCCTGGTGTCACAAGTGGGTAAGAAAGAAAGGAGCAATTATGGAGTTCAGTGGGTTTCAATCCAGATGGAGAAATGGGAAGAAGGGTGCCAGGGGGAGAGGAGAAATCAAACTCTTGGTGGATAACCAAGTAGCTCTTCCCATACTTGCTGAACTGGCTAAATAAAGTAAGAGCAGCACAGCCAGAGGACAAGTGGATAAGGAGCCCTTGGTTCAGACTGGATCATGTCTCTCCAGCTGGATCGGGGAGCTCCAGAGACCGAGCTCTGTTACCAGCCCAGTCACAGATCAGGCCAAAGCAAGGTGATGGGCGCCCGTCTGGGATGCAGCAGCAAAGAGCAAGAGCAGCTGGCTGCAGAGCCACAAGTTCAGTCGCTCAGTGATCTTTTCTGAACATAAATGAAGTAAATGCAGGCACCTCCCTGGAAACATATCTGAATTATGAGAAAACTGGACAAACCCAGCCTGCCCTCTCCCAGTGAGATCAGAGCCAACACTCTGGATGCAGACAGCAGATTTGCTGAGGAGATCTGGGTGCCAAGTCCGTGACCCAGCGCAGCGAAGGGGATGGAGGAACACAGAGGCCGAAGGCATGCTTGATCTGTCAGGGAGGGACAGGTCTGAGACCCAACCTGCACTGACTAATCTCAAGCCCTTCAGCTCAGCTGTGACCCCGAGCCTGCTGCATGTGCTGTGAGCCCAAACCTCTGCACGGCCACCAGCCACAGCCACCTCAGCAGAGGGAGGGCAGGTCAGCCCGGGTATCTGGCAGGCTTACGTCTTCTCCTCTCGAGAGACAGGTAAAATTACGGATCAAGAACTGCAGCATCTTGTTCTTTCACGTTCCAAACTGAAGGACATTATAAAATAAGGCTGTCTCCCCCCTCCAGCCTGCTGCCTTATCACTTGGATGTCTGTAATGAAGCATTCAAGGCCTTTATCATCAGACCTGTACACCTGAAGTTTGGTGTGGAAGCACTCTTTAGGCACTTAAACAAATGGCTCAATTATCAAAAGCACTTAGCACTGTAGCAGCCTCTGTGTGTGAAGGTTCCCCACATTATACATTTTACATCAGTCAGAGGTTACTGATCACGAGGAGCATTCACCCAAGAAACGCCCCACCTTTGGCAATAACATTTTGCCTCAAAAACTTCCTCCTGAAGCCTGAAGTGGACAGAGAGCAGGGTAGGAAGTACAGACGAGAAACTGTTTCTGTAGGTGGTTAAGCAGCTGCCAAATCCATCCCCAAAACAGCTGCATTTCAGCACACAAACCTTGTTGTGGGAAAGGGAGGCTGGTAGGCATATAATTTGAGAAGAAATAAAACAAAAACAGTGACCCTTTACGGGAAAGAAATGTTTAAAAAACTTAGGCTAAGCACTCTCAGGACCCATCTGCAGACAGCAGGGGAGTGACCTTGCTTCCATGCCAAGAAATAGTCTGACAAGACTTTGCAAGAATAGTAACATTTTGCCCTTCAGCCGAACCTCACAAGAGCATCTCGCTGCCCACACACCTCCGCAGAAAATTAGTCACAAGCACTTTGTTTAGGCCAGCCAAAATTAAGGACTGTTGAACAACGTCAGTGTACTCACAGCCTAGCCTCCTCAGGAGCTTTCCTCTACGCGTTGTAGGCAGAGTTTGGATCATTACAAAGTCTAAGTGCTGACTGTGGGCCAGGACCTCGACTCCTACGTGGCGTACAGGTAGTCTTTGAGTGGAAGACACCTGCCCCCAGCAGAATTATTCCAGCTGGTCCACTTGTATCTGGAGTGGGACTGGCCAGAAGAACACACAGCTGTAGCCACTCTTCTGCCAGTGGAAGATGACTCACACCTGGGAGCTAAACAATCTGAACAATCCAGGAGCATTTGGTCCCAGTGCTATGGCAGCAAAAGGCACTTTGCCTCACTTTAACAGGTAACTGTGTTTATGCTGTGCCTCAGTAAGAATCTTGACTCCTGTCTGGAAAGAAAATAAATTTTAAAAAGCCCAAACAAGTATAACATAGTAAATACGTAATCTGGATTGGCAAACCACAGGCACAAACAGCATCAAGTGTTTCTGTCCTGCTCCTTCTTTGGTCCGGCACACCAAGAACCAGGCTCGCCCTGCTCTGCGAGCAGCTGCCGGAGGGGCTGGAGGCACATTTCATCCTGCCCACCTCCTGTTTACCATGCTGCTTCCAGCAGCCTCTCTGGGCGTGCTGGGAACTGGGCTGCGGTGTGCTCTGCAAGGTGCGCTCCTGCCAGCCTGCAAGCGCAGCCGAAAGCCCTTCTGTGGGGAAAGAAGAGTCTGGTCTAGAAGGTTGCTTTGGGAACACGTCTTTGAGGGAAAACAGACGCAGCCAGTGACCAACTCCAGGTACCTACTCCAGCAGTGACAGGGAGCCCTGCAGGAGAGCTCTTCCTGTCCTGCTTCACTGTCACAGGGCTGAAAACGCTGTGAGAACAGACATTCCTTGGGATATGGCTGCATCTTTTAGGGGCCAGGTGTGTAAGAGGCACAACAGTCTAGATCTGCTAGGGGAGAGAGCAGGCAGCAGTTCTGAGCGCTGAGGAGTGAGAGGTCAGAGTTGCGGAGAACTGTGTGAGAAAAGCTAAAAACAATCATTAGAAAAAGAAGTCCTTTCTATCTGATGCAACTTGATACATAGGTAAAAGATAAGTCACCTTTTGGAACTGGTCCTAATGAAACGCTACTTGTTTTTCCAAAACAAGACACAGTAACTTTTCTCTTAAATGGTTTCTCCCAGTCAGATCAGAGGTGGGGAAGGACGGAAGCCTACGTGCACACATATGCACCCCCTTTGGTCTGTGGTGAAACCTTAGCCACCCATCTCTTTTTTTTTTTTTCCAAGGAAATCTCCTCCCAGTGTCCTATTTGTAGAAGTATTGCTCAAGAAGTTGAGTAAAACTACAACAAGCAGGGGAAGAGGAGACAGCTGTAACTGGAAAACAGGAGAGCCAGTGATTTCTTCCCTCCCCTTTCCGTACCACTGCCTCTCCTGCTCAGAAACACGACCCGTTATTAAAGGAAAAGTCCGTTTCCTTTCTCTCCCCTGTACAACCCCCTTTGGTGCTGGCTCTGCAGTGCTTTCTTTTGATAAAGGCACCTTTGGAAAGCACTGATGGTCCGAAGCACAATGCCCCGATGCCTCGTATTTACACCTGAGATTAGCTCTGCTGCATCTCTCCTGCCCCCAGCCCCAGAACTACCCCCCAGGGCCACGGCAACAGCATGGCGAGAGCAAGTGCCACACGAGGCTTCCCACAAGTGCCCACGTAAACACACACACACGCATCTCATTTTACCACGTGCAGGCACCCACGTGCCGCCCTTGTGCCTTCCACGCATCACACTGAATACTTCGCCATGTCACTCTTATCAAAGACAACTTTGGTTGCAAAGTAAATGGCTACCAGGCCAAAGCCGGCAGCTGACACCATGTAGGCAGTCACTGACTGCGTAAACTGGACGATGGATCCCATGAAGAGGGAGGGGACAACCTGAGAGAGGAGGAAAGCACTGTCCAAAATAGCCAGGTCCAGGCAGATCCCTCGGCCAGGAGGCACCGAGTCCGGTTCTCCCACCATCATCATGAGCGAGACGTCGCAGGAGGAGCTGACACACAGAGCTGAGCTGGCGGCTGGTGGGGAGGAAGAAGAAGAGAAGAGGCTCCCAGCGTGTCCATTCTGGTAAGGAAGCTTCTGGCTGGAAAGGAGGCCTTTAGAGAAGGATGATTTCTTGTCCAATCGAGCTGCGTCTTCCACCTCTTTGCTCTTGTATTTATGCAAAAATACCTAAGGGAAAGAAGGAGGGCACATGAGGAATGAGTCGGACGGGTAGAGCCCGGCAAGCGAGGTGGGGGGAGAGGGGGACCCCGGTTTTTGTGCAAAAGAGCAAAACCACCCCGTGCTCTGTGCGTGTCGGTCAGGCTGTGAGAGGTGGGGAGTGCCGGCAGCGAGCCTGGCCCACGTGAGATGGCCTCCAGGAGCCAGCCTGGCTCTCCCCAACTGGCACGGGATTCAAAGCAACCCTGACTCACTGGGGGAACGTGGCCAAGTGGTGCCGGATTTGTGCTGGAGCTCTGGGGCTCAGCAGACGGCTGCAGCCCAAAGCCAGCCCAGGCTCTGCCTGGGGACGTTGTGCTTTGAGCCCTGGGTTGTCACCTCCTCACTGGGTGCCAAGGGAATGTGGGCACCAACTACTGCTCACTGCATCCTGAAATCAGCTGAGGCACACTCGCAGGACAGAGTGAAGGGCCAGAGCCCACTTCGGGCGTATCACAAAGCCAGAGAGTCCACTCCAGCACAGACAAAAGTGTTTATAAAGTGTCTGACTGGGAACTCAAAACCTCCCTGCAGAAGAGCCCAAAGGGCAGACAAACAGCTCAGAGCCCTGGATGCATGGCTGCTTCTTAGTATCTGGGATACTTAAAACTGACACCAGCTGAGATGGCACAGTGCTGGGAACTCAGGGAAGAGCTCTTTTCTCAGCTCTGCAACAGCCCGTGCATGCATGACCCCAACTGAGTTGCTTCATCGGCCTGACCTGAGCTTCCTCACTCAGGCTAGAGAAGAGGGGTGGAGGGGGAAGAAAAATCTTTTTCTTCTCACCCTTTTTTGCCTCAGTCTGCTCAAGCTGTGAAATCTCTGGGGCATGGCTCACGCAAGCAGTACTCACACAGAATATTTGGATCAAAAAGCTCCCCACGTTAACGCCAACAAATAATGGGCAGTCATGTGCAGACAGTGAAAACGCTGCAGAGCTCCAGCTTTAAAACTCCAGGGCGTTTGCAATTATGCACAACCACTGGTCTGCATGAGGTAGAGCAGATAACGAAGGATACGTTAATCCATTATCTGCACGGTGAGATTGAACAAACAAAATAAAAAGGAGAAAACACCACCTGTTTGAGAGCAGAGAGTACTTCACCCCACTGCAGGGCTTGCCTGAGCTATCCTTCCCCTTGCTGGGGGGGCCCGGACACAGCTGAACAAGAGGGAAGCGCTGGTGCAGGAGTGTGGGCACCCCGGCTCTGTTGCAGGCCATCCCAAAGCTTTCAGCTGCCTTGGCACCCACCCAGCTACACCCAGCCCTGCCCTGGTGTATGTCAGCACCAGCCAGTCTGTTCATGCTGCCCCAGGCCATGGCTGCAGATCTGTAGCACAAACAGTTTCAGATTCAATCGGAGAAGAGAAACCGGATGAGAAGAACTTCACCAAATAGCAATTGGCTTCCAAAAGCTTTACCTGGGCTCTGCTCAGCTGCTCACTATACTCCTCAAGTCCTGCCTAGGCTTATGAATTTATGCTTAAATGCATCAATCCAGAACTGTCACTTACCTTATGGGGAGCTTAAAAATCTTCCCAAGTGCCTCCTATTGCCACCAGACTTCAAAGCAGCTCAAAAACCAGCACAGAAAGGCATTGTGTGACCCAAACTAGGATGTTCCCCACAGTTCCAGCCCTTTGTTTTTGACACTGATGTTCCCAGAAGCCTGCTCAGCTGCCCCGAAGGCCCACACCACATTTTCTTGGTTTCTATACTGATCCAGGCTAGGACTTCAGAGATACAAGTTCTGGCAGGGGTTTTTTTCTTTCTCCATCTAGTGTAGAGAATTAATTTAAACGTAGAGAAAATGGCTTAAACTCATACTCCCAGAAATGAGCTCAGTGAGAATTTATGCTTTAAAACCACCCCTTGTAACACAGGATACAGCCAGAGGAGTCACTCGTGCCTCAATCAACAGCTTCACCTCCCTCTGTAGTTGATGGGGAGTGGTGGGAATGAGGAACCTAGCTCTCCCTCATCTCCTGCAGAAGGTGTGACTGCCCACCATCCACCTCACCTCTAGCAAGCTTTGAGGTGCTGTTGGAATATGCAGATCTTTTCCTCCTGTTTTAGACCAAGTTTAGCGACCACGTGAAGCTGAGAGGGGATGCAAGAGAACAGAGCGACTTCCACAGCCTCTGCAAAGCAAGGAGCTCCAGCCGAGGTGGCCTTGCAGGCTTTCACCAATGATCCCGCACAGGGTGGAAGCAACAGCCACTTTGGATGCCCCTTCCACTGATTCACTTCAGGAGGAGTGTTTAAAGTTTAAAAAAAAAAAAAAAAAGTGAAAAAAAAGAGAGGGAAGAGAGGAAGCAGGAACGAGGGAAGGCAAACAAAAATGATGACAGAATTCAACAGTAAGAATAATGAAGAGAACAGAAATGGGGAAGATGGAGAATTTTCTGCAGCAGGCATTTTAGGGACTACTTCTTGTGGGGTCTCCCTGAAGCCTGCTGCAAAGTAGTTGGTAAAGAAAGGAGGAACTTTCAAGTTAGGGAAAACAGAGAGACCAAACCCAGCGATACCCCACACCTCATTGTACTAAGAGTGTTTCCCTGTCAAGCCTTTGGCAAACAGTTGGGCATGTGGCCTTCGCATTCTCAGCCTGTGGAGTTTGGTTTTCATTCTGCTGATATTTTGTCCATGGAAGATCTCAGCCAAACTACAGTTTTTGCAAAGCAGAACACTCCCTTGTACCCCTATTAGGACAGGGTGCCTGGTGCAAATTGGGACGTGTTGGTCAGAATTATTTGTTCAATGTGAACATCTGGATGCCTGTGGTAAAAACTCCTACTTATTTCACTGCACAGTGAACCGCCTGCCATCGGGATGAAAGATCTGCTCTCAAACCACAAATTAATTTTGCATTTGCAGCACAAGAGAAACTCCTATTAATCCAGTGTGCAACTCAGGAACCTCCTAGGACTCTTCCACAAGGATAACATCTGTGGGACAGGATTATTAGCTTTTGTGTTGGTGTCAAACGTTTCACAACGTTTATTCTTCTTGGACCAAAGGAAATAGGAAGAACCTCAGTTTTCATTTTACTGATCTTCATGCTATGGACAAAAATTGGAAAGCAGGATCTCCAGGGGCTGAAAATTCTCGAGTTTTTTAGCATCCCATGCTGCCAGTGCTGCAGATGTGACTTGGTTGCAGAACGCACACATGTATAATTGGCCTGCACCAGTTTCCCTAAAAATATGCAGAACATGGAGGAACATAGGACACCCCTTTTGACGCACCAATCCTGGCTGATTTCTCCCATCTTACCCACTCCCACTTTTTAAAATTGCACAATGCTTGTTGTGAGCAGGGGACGCCTAAGGAAGGAGATACTGAACTCTCTTATCTCCTCCATTTTAGATGAATCTTCAGAGAAGACACAGCCTGGAGACAAGAGGCACATGTAGAAAACCTTTGCACGTAGGCATGTGGTTTTCTTCCACGGGCTGAACTGACCGTACCAGCTACAAGTGGCAAGAGAGGCTGGCCAAGCTGTCCTCACAGCTACCTGGCACAGTGCGCTCCAGAGCAGATCCCTACCTGTTTTTCATGATGATACAGTGATGCCAGCGTGTATGGCAGGATCTGGAGTGCAGAGAAGGTGAAGCCCGTCAGAGCAGCCGAGGCGGTAACAACGATGACACTGTGGGAAAGGCACATGACGAAGGCAGCCACGGGGAAGAACACCACGCTGGCCAGGTAGACTGCCCGCGTCCCAAACTGCTTCACCATCCGGTCCATGATTGTCGAGAAGAAGATGGATGTGATGCATTGCAGGAAGAGGCCCAAACTGCCCACGCGGACACCTGCGGGTAAGCAGAGGTGGTGACAGACGCTGCCCTGACTGCACCCGGGCTCCACACAGCCACGCTCCTTTGGGCTTCCTTCCCTCTCCTTCTCGTCCAGCCCACGCAGAGCCTGGCACAGCCGCCAGCAGCCCAGATGACCACATGGCTGGGTCAGGACACAGAGCAGCATCACCTAATATACCCCCGGGGTTGCATCAGCCAGACTGCGGCTCCCACCCTCCACCAGCAGCGAGTATTTCCTACACGTGCTCCTGGGCACCCCAGTCTAACCAGAGGGGCAACGGGGGATAGAAATCCAAATGCCGTTCTTGTCTTTGGAAGCTGTTGTTCGCACCTTTCTACTCTTGATCCAGGATCTGTTACCTGCTCATGAACCAGGATCTGTTGTTATCTGATGCTGAAACCAGCAACAGAACAAAAGGAACAAGGAATTGTGCTTAAGCCAAGGTAAAGTATACAACATCCACTAAATGACTGCAGTATCCGGTAGCAATCCGGACCTTACCCTTTGCAAAGATCTATCAGATTTCAGGGAATTAAAACCATTAACTCTTTGCAGGAAGGATCACTACTCAACACATGTTTCTACGACAGCTAGCACAATGGAGTCCTGACCTGCTGGAAGCTATACAGTGCAAGTGTTAAATAATAATTAAGCTCCCTCGAAGTTAAACAGACACTCAGCACAAAGAGGCAGTGTACTGGCGAGCTCACGGAGGCAGTGAGTGGAAAACTCAGAGGGCAAGATATACAGCTGGAGGAGGAGGGCCAGGAAGGTGCCTCCAAGAATAGAAGACTTAGATCAGGGAGAGGAAAAGAAGGGCTAGGCAGTGAGTCAAGGCTCTGGCACAACACAGCAGCCAAAATAGGACAGCAGGCAACAGCAGTAAGCAGGTAGCATGCTGCAGTGAGCAGTATCCCATGATGTGGACGTGCCACCTAGAGATTGCAGTGGTGAGCGCTATCAGAAAGCGCTGGAGAGAGGGGTGAGAACTGGGGAAGCTGCTCGGGGGTTCCCCAGATGCATCCGTGAGATGGGAATCTCACCGTAGCATGAAAGAAAAGCAGCAAAGCCCACCTCACTGCTACTGAGCACGTCCTGGCTTTCCAACCCCTGCTCTCCAAGAGATGGGGAGCACCATCACCCCTCATTTAAAAAGGAGGGAAGAGCAGGGAAGGGACCTGGCAGCGGCGACGCCAGCTTGCAGACAGAGCCAGATATGTCCTGTTCAGCACACAACCTGCCAGACCATTCTGCCACTTAACAGTTCAGCCCCAAGCCAGGGCTGCACTGCCAAATCCAGCTCTGTGCTGGGTCGCTCGGAGGACACAGAGGTGTTTCGCTGCTTGGTCCACTGTGCAATGCTCTGGGAGCCACGGGGGGAACATTTTTTCCAGACCCATCTGCAGAAAGTCTCGTTTCCTGTAATGTTTTTTGGCGTTACAAGCAGAGCTGAGCCCATTCCTAGCTCCCACTCAACGCTCCTGTCCTAGGGAACAGGTGCTGCAGCCTCAGAGCATCTGGTTCACTTCTCACCTTCATCGTAGTGGCGTCTGGCGTCTGTGCCAGGCTTGGCTCTGGGGACGCCGTGGTACAGCCCTTCCCCAACGAAGTCTGTGTAGAACAGCATGAAAGTCATGAGTGCCATCCAGCTGCAGAGCTCGGCCACGAACAGGCGCCGGATGACTTTGGGGATGCGGCAGTAGAGGCTGTGAAGCCGTGGCACCAGTGTGCAGAGGTTCCTCAGGGCCTGCACCATGTGCCTGGCCTGCAGGAGACAGGAGCTCCTGGAGAGCTGGCAAGAGCAGCAGGCCAGAGGCGTGGGCTTAGGGGGAGCATCCTTCAGCGCCGAGCCATCCAGAACATCTGCCTGGGTGGCTGCCTCCTCTGTCACAAAGAGTGTGGCCAGCACACAGCCGAGGAAGATGACGGCGAGGAGGCTGAAGAGGCAGGTCTCCTGCCCTCCCAAGTATGGGGCCAGAAAGCTGCCTCCCCAGTCAATGGCTGGAAGCAGGTAGCCAATGCAGCCCCCCAAGCTGATCATGAAGGCATACATGGAGAAGGCCTGGCGGCAGTTGTCCGGCTCCTGGAAGAGGTCTGAGAGCAGGGCTTCCAGTGGAGTGAAGCAGACCTGGCCGCAGAAATCCAGTAACCCGATGCCCAGGATGAGGAAGGCAATCTCCAGCGGGCGAGTGTTGAGGGCAAACAGGCTGGCCAGGCTGCTGGCATGGGGGATAATGAAGAGGCTCAGCAGGACTCCCAGGCAAAGCATCCAGATGAAAGGTCGCCTTCGGCCATAGCTGCTGTGCCAGTGGTCACTGGCAGATCCGATCAGTGGGACAAAAACCAGGCCAAGGACAGGTCCTATCCCTGGAAAAGAGAAAGAGGTGGTGTTAGGGGGGCAGATCTGGAGCGCACTGGTGTGTATGCACTGTACAGAAAGTCTGGGGCGTTTCAGTAAGCTTCACTGGGTCACAGCCCCCTCCTCCAAACTCAAGGCTGCCCTTGACGTATCCGCAGCCCTGCAACCATCCCTCAGAGACAAGCCTCCGCGCCCTTATTCGCCCCTGCCCTCCAGCCTCGAAGGGGGAACGAGCACCTTGAAGATGAGAGGAAAACCGCCTACCCAAAACCATGGTCATGAACTTCTCCTCCACACCCACTTCCAGCAGCAGCGGGGGCACGTAGGTTATCCCTGCAGCCAGGCAGACCTCCAGGCCGAACGTCAGGGAGTTGACCAGCAGGAGCTGGGTCTTGCGGTTGTGGAAGAGCATGCTGACCCAGGCGCTCTGAGCCATGCTGCCCCGACCCCCCTCACTGACAGCGGGCTGTATCGCTGCAGCACTCCCAGGGATGCCCCACAGGCAAGGTCTGGAGCTTCCCTTCCTGGTCTGCTGGACAGATGCTGCCTCCCATTTTTAGCAACAGTGAATGAACCGTCTTTTCCTCTTCCTCTTATTGCAAGATGTGGCCCCAGCAACGTCAAGTCCAGGCGTGGGCAGGCAGGGATCCCACTCCAGGCTTCCCCTTCTGCTCACATGCTGTGGGCTGAGAGAAGAGAGAGCTTGTTAGGCACAGCGGGGTCCAGGGCAGGGGAAAGGGCTAAAACCCAGTACCACACAGACACGTCATCACCAAAAGAGACAGCCCCCATCCCAACAGGCCTGCAGGCACGGGAGGATGAAGACAGGACATCTGGGAGAGCGGCAGGGTTAAAAGACACGAACTACATTGGTGCCAGGCTTCTCTCCAAGGGCTTGCGAGAGGTGAGACAGGCACCTGTCAGACATGGTTTGGGAAAATCCAATCCCGCCTTCGGGCTAAGGGAGGTCTAATGGCCTCTCAGTGTCCTGTCCAGCCTCATCTTACAGATGTGCAGTTGTAGCAGAGAGACAAAGGATTTAGGGTCTCCTCTCCCAGTGAAATCAATTAAAAGTCCCCTTCGAGGATCAGGGCTGCAGGCATTTGCCTGCATGCCACTGCCTAATGACCGGGGCGTCCTCCGTGCTGCTCCGCAGGCTCCCAGCGAAGCAGTTTCACCCAAATCCTGCCTCCAACCCCTGAGACGGGGTGCAGAGAACAGATGGTGCCTCCATGGAGTTTCACAAACAAACCTGACCCACTTTAGCCTCATCTAACAGTGAATGGCAATTACCTTACTCATTAGTCTGAGTCATTTATTTGCCCTGTAACATGCTCCCTCTCTCCAGCCTTCTTCAGAGAGCAGAGGCCACCAGATCAGGACAGGGGCTAAGCAGCTAAGGCAAGAGTAAGCAGATGCCTCTTATGAGCCTGCCACCATGTCAGTCTACAAATGTAAGAAATCCTCGAAGGTCACCAGTGTTTAGGATGGTCCATCAAACTGCTGTTTTCCTAAAAGCATCTCGGGAAGATGGTCTGTAGTTATGCTGGGACAGGTAGAAGGGGTTAGCAAGAAGGGTGACATTAAGCTCCTGCACAGACATCGATTTAGGAGTAAAACAAACTGCAGCCTAATTCTCAGGATTCACACGGTCTAAACTCTCACCCTAAATGAGCCACTACTGAGTTTCTCCGTGGGGACAAGGCGTAACAGGTCCCACTGGCCTGACTGTGCGTCAGCTTACAACCCACTCCTGGACTGTGCAGTGTGCTCCCAATTTGCACGGAAGCTTCTGCCTCCCATCCCACCACAGCGCAGCCCCCGAGTGCTTTGGGTCCTTTGGATGAAGGAGGCTGAACAGAATGCGAGACACGCAGGCGGAGGAGTTTATCTCTGCTTGCTCCCTCCCTGGCTGCGGGAAAGCTGTAACTGCATACCTGCCTGTACACCCCCTCCATGCCAGAGCAGCTAGCTGGTACTGAGCTTCCCCCAGCTGCAGAGAGTGAACCCATCAGAAGGCACGAGGTGAAAATCCAGTTTTGCAGCCCCATCGCTCTCTTGAGTTCTTTGCCTCTACTACAGGGGAGAGGAAAAGACGACTACAGGGAACGTCTCCAGGCCAACACTCCAGGCCTTGCCACAGCTGCGCTGGGCAGAGATAAAACTCCACATTCTCACCAAACGTGGTGCAAATTAGTGTCCTCTAACTTCACGGCACACGCACTGACCTCCATCGCTGCACGAGTGTTTGTAGACAGGTATAGCTGGGACAGTTTCTGCATTCTCACTTTTCTCTTTCTTCCCCTCTTGCCCTCAGCCAGATAACCCACGGGGAGATGACTGGGTGAAGCTGAGAGTGTGGCGCTGAGGTTTTTGCGAAGATGGAAGCATTGCTCTCTGCCTCTTGCTGCCGCAGAGGAGAGGCAGCACGCCTGAGCTGAGGAGTTGACGGGCTGCCAATTACACACAATAAGTACAGATTATTTTCCTTCCAGGATCCCTCACCTTCCCCTCTCCACACTCATTTTGACCTCGTCTGTCACAAAACATATCTCCTTTTAACAACTGCGAACATTTCAATGACTTGCCCAAGGTCAAATAGCAAGCTAAAGGCAGAGGGGAACAGCAACTGTTTTCCTCTAATCACTAGACGTGGCTTCAGAGAAATACTCAGAGGCCCCAGATACTCTCAGCATTACTTCAGATGCACTCTATCTGCAAGGAAGCAACTGGGGGCAGCAACCACCTTTCTTAGATGTGGGCTAGACACAGGATGTCGCAGCCTTGTTCGTTTATGATGGGTGCCCAGCTGGCTGACAGCCTTAGGACAGGAATTTAAGCTGCAGCCCTACAGCTCCAGCAGCACAAGCCTCGGTGCTGTTAGCTAGAGAAAGCAGACTCACGTGACAAAATTAACTGAGCCACCATCACTCAGAGCTAGACCTGGAAGGGAGAGGTAATATCCACTGTCTGCTGTAGTGCAGGGTCTGGAGGGCTTACAGAGGGGGACTTACCCCAAGGTAAACCCCAAACATTAAGTAAAAGATCTCATACACACAGGAAAAAAAACCAAAACTTCTTCCCTTTTATCACAGTGGTATCTCTATCACTGGGGAGGAGGCAGGAATCTGTACATCTCCCTGACTGCCTGAAAATTTCAGGTTGAGGCAGAGAGGCTGAATTTTGTATGGGTTGGTAAGAGAAGATCTGTTTCTTCCCCCCTCCACACCCTCAGATGACTTTAATGAAAAAATAAATCCCCGTGTACCCAGAGGCAGTACTCATGCATAGCCAGGGATAAGAAGCTGTCAACAGCAATCAAGTCGTAGAGACAGTTGCAAGAGATTATGAACCCTTTTCTGTTTAAACTGCATTTTGTCCCAGTATCCATCAATTACTCTATTTTGTTCACAGAAGACAGAGAGCTGGATTGGCTCAGATGGAAGAAAATGCCAGTGCAAATGAGGAAAATCATCTGAACCCCTGATCTGTAAGGACAGGGGCAGAGAGATGGAGAAGGAAGATTTGGGAGGCTGGCGGGAGCCAGGCTGAAAGGAATCCAGAAGCCAGGACTCACCTCCTCCAGGCGGAGCAGCGAGAGGGGCTCCCAGAGCCAGCCCCGGCACACAGCACTCAGGAAAAGCTACCGGAGGAGTCTGCAGGCAAGCAGAGGTGGAACCGAGCTGCAGGTACACACGCGGGTTTGGTTTCAGGGCCCTCCCTGGCTCCGGAGAGCACGGAGCGCTGGTGTGTTATTAGCACCACAACCACACCTGCGCCCGGGCCCCGCGCGAGGGGTGCTGAGCAAACACAGGCTGCAGGCACCAGCCCTGCGGACCCACGGATCACAGACCCACGGCTCACTGTCCCACAGCTCACAGACCCACGGCTCACTGTCCCACAGCTCACAGACCCATGGCTCACTGTCCCACGGCTCACAGACCCATGGCTCACTGTCCCACAGCTCACAGACCCACGGCTCACAGACCCATGGCTCACTGATCCACAGTTCACAGACCCACGGCTCACAGACCCACGGCTCACTGTCCCACGGCTCACAGACCCACGGCTCACAGACCCACGGCTCACTGACCCACAGTTCACAGACCCACGGCTCACAGACCCATGGCTCACTGTCCCATGGCTCACGGACCCACGGCTCACAGACCCACGGCTCACGGACCCACGGCTCACTGACCCACAGTTCACAGACCCACGGCTCACAGACCCACGGCTCACAGACCCACAGCTCACAGACCCATGGCTCACTGGCCACTTCACCACTGCTGTCCCAAACCAGCTCAGAAGGCAACTCCAGGTCTGGACTCGCATCTGAATTTTGCCCGAAGCCTTGCCCTGGTGTTAACATTTGTCACCTTCCCCTGCTGACCTGCTGGCACTTCACAAAGAGCCAGCAGAGAGAGATTTAGTACATGGGATTATTATTTTCTTTTTAAAGACAATGAGATGTTCCCTGCAGTTTCGCAGGTAACAGTCTGGCTCTAAATAACAGTCCCAGCAGCAAGACCAAACACTTCATTTAAACTGTTAATCTCTTCCAGGACAATTTATCTGGCAGGCTAGGCGGGAGGACTGGTTTGGGTCTGGTGCTCTGTAACTTTGTGCTGATGTGGAAGGAGTCAGTCTGGCAAACCATCTCCTGGCTGGGAGATCCTGGTCTGACAGCGGCATCTACACATCACACGCAAGTGAGCTGGCAACAGCCTGTCCAGCCCAGTGGGATTTGGCATCCTGTGATGGGGAGACCTTTCCCACTCAGGCAGGGCAGGTGGCTGGTCCAAAAAAAATGCCTGACAGCAGGCACTTCTTGCCTTCTGGCCTCAGTTTCCCTGAACTTCTACAACAGGGATAGTATTTGTCCTTCTCTACAGAGCACAGTTCCAAGCACCTTGACAAGGATAGCAGCCAGCCCCTCCAAAAGGAGCATACCAGCCCTTCTGTGTAAGGTTTCCTGCACACAGAAGCAGAAGGGAGCCACGTGTGGGGCTTTTTCACAGCTGCACATTGAGCTGTCGTGCCATGGGGATATTATCTGCTGCTGAGTGTCAGGGCTCTTTCTCTGCTCTCCCTCCCCAAGGAGAAGTAAAGCATCTTTACACCCAGGGTTTCTGTTTTACTTTTAAGCTTGCAAACCAAACTTTTCCTTTCCTTTCTCTGCAGAGAAACAACAGATCAACTCTGAGAGGCTGGTTCACCTGGCAGCCAGGTAGGAGGGCGGGTCCTGGGGGCAGGAGCAAAGCAGCACAGTGCCGGACAAAGAGAGCAGAGGGCTCTCTGCCACCCCCTGGACAGAGCAGCCTTCTCAGCAATGGCAACCAAAGCAGAAAGGATTGCACCTCCTGCAGTCCTGGGGTCTCCTGTCCTCTCTCTTGTCTCCCACTTAAGCACCCAGGACAGGAGGAAGGCAGGCTGTCTGCCCCTGCGGAGCGCAACTCCCCGAGCAGCACTAACAGGGAAGAAGGAGCAGCAGCAGGGAAGAAGCACGGGAAAGCAGTTCTGAGAGTCCATTTCTCTAAAGGCAGTGGGCCAGCAGATTAGATGCACACATTTCCCCTACTCAGAGTTTGTTCTCTGTTCACATGCCACAGAAAAAGTTTTGACAAATGTCTTCCTGTGCTCGATGTGGTACAGAGACGCAGCAAGGCCCTGCCTGCAAAAACCCGCG